AAACATGTTTCCATGAATGCGAGATAATAAGGCTTGTTGATACAGCACGACTTATTTAACTTCTACTGGTCGTTGGGAAAGCTAGTCTCTTACGATCAGCATTCATTATCGCATCCACAAGGAAAAAAAAGCGGTTTATTAGGAAATACAATACTGCGTCCTGACTTATGAACATAATCTACCTTACAAAACATTACTCTCAGTCCAGAACAGGATTAGAAACCACACATTAAAAGTACTACAGCATCTATGCCACATTTGGCCCTTAATAAGCGTCGAATCTTGCAGATATTCAGAACCATTTAAAATTAACTTTTATTAAAATTTTCTTTTAAAGAAGTATATAATTTTTTTCCATTGACATGATATAGAGATTTTTTTAACCCAAATTGCTTTAAAACTTTAACGTACTGGCCCTGAGAGACAGTTCAAGTCACCTCCCTGCTTAAATAAATGGACTACCTAATCAGGTCAAGTCAAGTACATACGACACGTCCACTTAGGGCATTACATCAACCTATTAAGCACAAGTTCTAGTTAGGTCCAACTTTTACTACTGCCACCCACACCACTCATGTCTTTATGTAACTGTTTTTAAAAACACAAGTACTTAGTCTATATGATGTTACTCGGAGTATTGTTCCACTCATCCCAACTCTGATTTACCAAACAGTTGCTTTCCTATATCCTTACCTGAATCTGAATTTCCTACTTAAAACCATGCATCTGCGATGTCTACTGTCTTGAGCTAGTATATTTTCACAGCACGCCTATTTACATTCCCTCATTTATTCTGTTTTCTATTTATACACCTCAGTCATATACCCCAATTCTACGCCTTTCTAGAGAGTGCAGATTCAGGGCTCCAGTCGTCCTCATAGGGGAAATTTTGTTTCATGGACAACTTTGTCATCCCCCTTTTTATGTTTTCCAGTGCTTTTTTATCCATTCTGTAATCGATACAAAACTGTGCAGCATAATCCAAATGAGGTCCAACCAAATATATAAGTTTAAGAACAACCTGAGGGGCTCCTTTATTTGCTCCTTTTATATGAACCCAAAGGGTTCTTTCGTTTATTTTGAACACTTATGCACTGTTGTCTTGGTTTTAGATTACTGCTAACCAGAACTCCCAAGTCCTTTTCGCAATCAGTAGTATTAAGATCTACATTATTCAGTTTATATGTAGCATGGTTATTTTCTTGTCCAGTGTTTAGAACTTTCCATTTACCTATATTAAACTGCATCTGCCACTTCTCCGACCACTTCATCAGTCTATTCAAGTCATCCTGGAGTGCTCTAATATCCTCATTAGAATGAATTAGTCGACCTATTTAGTGTCATCGCAGACTTGCCTATATCGCTATTTATTCCCTCATAAATGTCGTTTATATAAATTGTGAACAACAAGGGGCCCAACATTGACCCCTGTGGAACATCACTCGTGACGCACCCCCACTCTGATTTCTCCTTATTGATGCAAACTCTCTGGTGTCAATCTGTTAACCATGCCTCTACCTAGGAAAAAAATTCTCCTCCTTTTCCGTGTGCTTTAATTTTCCTCAGTAGCCTTTAATGAGGAAGTCTATCAAAAGCCTTACTGAAGTCCATATACTCAACATCATATTCATTACCATGATCTACCTCCTCAAATACCTTGGTGAAAAAGGTTAGAAAATTTGTTAAGCAGGAACGCCCTTTTGTAAAACCGTGTTGAGATTCATTAATCAATTTATGCCTTTCAAGATGGTTACGAATTGCCTCGGCAATTAATGATTCCATAAATTTTCCCACTGTGGAAGTAAGGGTTAATGGTCTACAGTTCGAAGCTAAGAACCTGTCTCCTGCTTTGTAAATAGGCATTACATTTTCCATTTTCCACTTGTCTGGCACTATGCCAGTTTGTAGTGATATGTTGAAAAGATTAGCCAAAGGTTTGCTAAGCACCTCTTTACATTCCTCTAAAACCCTTGCAAAAAGTTCATCAGGACCTGGGGATTTGTTCGGTTTTAATTTCTCTATTTGTCTGAGGACCATGTCACTTGTTACCCTAGTCGTGCATAGTTTATTATCGTCCTGTTGTACGTAATTTATTATTTCTGGAATTTCGCTATTATTTTCCTGCATATAAACTGAGAGGAAATAAAAGTTAAAATTTTCACACATTTCCTTATCACTGTCAGTGATCTGACCTGAGTTACTTTTGAGTGGGTCTATCTTGTCCCTAATCTTATTTCTATATACCTGAAATAAACCTCTTGGGTTAGTCTTCGAATCCTTTGCCACTTTAGCCTCATAATCTCTTTCAGCTTTTATTTCCTTTTTTATTTCTCTCTTTAATTAAATATATTGATTTCTTAATTGCCAATCCCTTCTTTTGATGCGTCTATACATGCCTCTCTTTTGACCAATCAGATGTTTTAAACAATTGTTTATCCATTTGGGATCATTTTGGGTTGATCTAATTTCCCTTCTTGAAACAAAAGTTGTCTGGGCAGCTAGAATTATGCTCTGGAAAACATCATATTGGCAACCAACACCAACTACCTGACCCATAGTCAGGCCGTTCCAATTTAAGACCACCCAGGTAATTTCTTAGTCCCTTGAAAATGCCTTTCTAGAGAGTGCAGATTCAGGGCCCTCTGTCAATCCTCTTAGGAAAGATTTTTGGTACATAGTATCAATTTAGTCATCCTTCTTTGTACGTTTTCCAGCTTATTTATATCCATTGTGTAACACTGTGACCAGAAGAGTGTGGCTTAATCTTAATGAGGCCTAACCAACAATGTATAGAGTTGAAGAATAATCTGAGGACTCCTCTTATTTATACTTCTTCATATGAAACCAAGAATTCTATTCGCTTTATTGCAAACATTTAACCACTGTTGTCTTGATTTTAAAGTACTGCTAACCAGAACTCTTAAATCTTTTTTTGTAGAGTGATTAAGATCTGCATTATTTAGTTTATAAGAGCCCAAGGTGATTTTCCTTTCCAATTCTTAGACCTTTGCAGTTGTCTATATTAAATTGCATCTCCCACTTCTCCGACCACTGCATCAATCTATTCAAATCTTCCTGTAGCGTTCTAGTGTCCTTGTCAGAATTAATTCAACGGCCTATTTTTGTGTCGTCGGCAAACTTACTAATGTCGCAATTGATTCCCTCATCTATGTTGTTTATGTAAACTGTGAAAAACAAACTGCCCGATACTGACCCGTGTGGAACACCACTTGTGACACGTCCCCAGTCTGATTCCTCTCCATTTATGCCAATTCTGTTTCCTATCTGTCAGCCACTTCTCTATCCAGTTAAAAATTTCTCCTGTTTCGTGTGCTTCTACTTTCTTCAAGAACCTCCGATGCGAATCTCTATTAATTTACTAAAGTCCAAGTACACAATATCATGTTGATGACGATGATTTACCTCCTCTGATACCTTAGTGAAAGTAGTTAGTAAATTTGAAAAGCCGAAACGCCCCTTTGTGAAACCGTGATGAGATTCATTAATCAGTTTGTCTTTTAGTGTGGCATCGACTAGCCTCGGCAATTACTGATTCCATCAGTTTTACCACAGTGGAAGTTATGTTAATTGGTTTATAATTCAAAGTAAGGACTTGTCACCTGCTATGTAGATAGGTATTTCCCACTTATCTGGTACTATGCCAATTTGAAAAGACTAGCCAAGGGTTTGCTAAGTTCCTCCTTACATTCCATTAACAATCTTGTAAACAGTTCATCAGGGCCCGAGGATCTGTTGGATTTTAATTTATCTATATGTCACTAGTGGCTGATCTTCCTTATCTACATAATTTATTATTTCTGGAATTTCGCTAGTATCTTTCAGTGTAAAAACTGAGAGGAAATAGTGTTAAAGATTCTATTCATATCTTTATCGCTGAACCGAGTAGCATTTGAGTGAGTCTCTCTTGTCTCCTAATCTTACCTCTACATACCTAAAAGAAACCTTTTGGGCTAATCCTCAAATCCCTTTTCTCATTCCCTTTTCAATTTCTCTTTTTAATTTAATATATTAATTTCTTAACTGCCTATCTCCTCTTTCGATTTGCCTGTAAATGCATCTCTCTTGATATCACAGGTCAGTTTACAATTATGTAATATTATTAAAAATATACATATTTTTTCGTTACGCTCAGATTCAATTTGGCGGAGCTATGGCTGAAATTAATTTTTACTCTGGCTATTTGACAGAAAAAGGTCTTGCTAAACTCACCAGTTTAGCTTATATGACACGATATATATACCTAATAAGCCGAAATTGTCGATTAGACCGAACTCCCTTAAAATTAAATTTTCCCCCCAAAATATTCTCATCCGGAATGATAGCAAATTTTTCTTAGTTGACAATAATATAAAGATATATTTTTGTACTAAAATTAAGTTAGAAAACCAACCTAACCTCTCAAGAACTAAGCCAATTTTCTTTTAGCTAAATTCTGCTATATATATACTGAAGTCAATGTAAATTTATTTAATATTCCTTGAAATCTATGATATATATATTTCTCGTTATGCTCAGATTGATTTCCGCTGATTTAAGGCAAAAAGTAATTTTCATTCTTCTTATATGGGAGACTCTTGTTAAACATGTCAAACACGCCGGTTCGGCTTAATCGGCACGATATATATATAATTATATATATACATTTTTCACCTCTATGTAAATTATTCTCTTTTGTATGTTACTTATGCTGTTCATTATTTTCTGTTTAGACTTTATAAATAACGGTCAATAGTATATGTGTATGCACACAAGATAAGTCCTGTGTTTGCTAAGTAACAGTTAATTGTTGTAATTTATTGCACTTTGCGTTGCAATATTCTCTTGATTGTCGTACTTGCTTCACTTGAATAAATAAATAAGTTTTTGATTAAATGTTTATCCATTCAATGTTTAATATCTTATTACTGTCTTACTAAATATTTGTTATTTACCTTTGCTAAATATCTAGGTGATAGGTTTGCTTTGCTCTCATATAGGAGCTTCGTTTATATAACAGTATGCTTGGGCTGAGGAACACGACCTTGTCCAAATCATCAGCATGTATTTAAATTGATGATTATCTTCGATATATATTGATAATGACGCTTTGTTTTATTTTAAACTTAGTGTTTTAGCTAAGTTAGTTCTCAACTTTACGGTACATATAGTCAAGAACGAGCACATGTACCGCCTTACCAAAGATTGATCCGATGGGCCAGACAATATGCTGTGAAGGTGTAGTGGATATACGATGTCGGGAAGAGAGGGTCCTTAAATGCCTTGTCATAGCCCCTGTAACCCAGGTGCATTTGTTCCCATGTTCACCCATTCAGTTCACCGGTCAAACCTAACTGATGTGGTGATGCACTTTTCCACGATGTAGGTATGCAACGTATGAGTGTTAACGTAATGATAGAAAGAAATGCAGTTATATAGAACCTTTATTGACGAACTATCATTTACACTGTGGGCTTGATAAAGAACATTGAGTGGAGAAAAATCGTCAGCAAAGGTTCCATGTAAATAATTTTTGTCTCCTTACTCTATCCACAGTGTCATGACATTGAAGGATTGATATTAGATACTTGTCCATTTACTGGCCAATTTTGACTTTATCCTAAACTGGCAAGAATAATATAATGTACCTTAGCTATAAATTTTACTTCATAAACTTGAGTATGCTGCTCATCCTCTTACTTGGATTTAGTTCACAGTTTTATTGTAAACAATATTTGTCCATGATTATGAGACGAAACATATATTTTCGGTTGTACATCTTACCCTGAAGACTACTTCTAACATTTTATTACAAAAACTTATTTGAGCAGTTATCTGCTACAACTTCATAATTAACATTGTGCATGTTTTTCTCAAACTCTGGAGTGAAGATTTATTAAGGAAGAGGTGCACAGCCTCACACTTCTACACAGTCGAGCTTTGGCTTTCCATGTGTAGTGGTTTTGCTGCTCAGCCTCCTAGCTTAATCTGTAAAGCTTGTGTTTATCTCCTTATGAACCTACCATACTAAAAGCTAAACAGCTTCATCATGTCCTCTGGTTTGAATCTCTTGGCGATGGTCATCTCTAGATAGGCTACGGAGGTTATGGTGTGAGGATGCAGTTTTTTCAAGTCTGCCTCCTCTCCGAGACAGTCCTGGGGTGAAGTCTCGGCTACCAAGTCCACTAGACGCAGTAGATGTTCCTGTCTCTGAAGGCGATACTTTCCGTTGACGATCTCTCTTTACTGTAGTATTACCTGAAAATTAATGATATCGATGAAGAAAACGCAAATATTATTTACTGTTGTAATTCCTTAAATGCAATGTCATAGCTACTGATGTTCCGAAACCTAAAGAAGACTGTGAACATCTTAGGAGGAATCACCTAATACACAAATAGGACCCCAGTTTATTCAGCATTTTGTGGATGATTTTTTTCTGGAATAGTTAATGCGTAAAGAAACCACGTAAAAAAAAAATGAGGACCTTTTTTGAAGTACGTCACTTTCTATTTCAGTTATGTCCAATGGTTTCAGGTTAACCTGGCTTTATATAATAAAGCCTCCTTTAGATTCTGGTGTTCATACTAGAGGATATAAATGCATTAGATAATTTAAACAGAAGGGTAGCAAAATTATATCACTGAATAAGGAATCTTTACTAGTAAGATAGATTTAAAGCACTGAAACTACAGTCTCCTGAAAGGCATAAAATGAGTAAGAACAAGACTGAGGTATACAAGAAGAAGAAATAATGATGAGATATAAATAGGGTATTGAGTATTCCCATCTAACAAAAAACTCTACAATGGATTCAAGCTGGATAAATTCAGTTTTAGATAGGATAGGAAAATACTGGTATCACATGGCGAGTGCACAACAGGTTTCTTCAATTAAATACTGGCGATAACAACACTGGAGACAGCAGAAACAGTTTTGAGGTGGTAAGTCTTTCTGCCTGGTTGGGTGGTGTTCAGTCTCTTAAGTTCAGTCTCTTAACGTTCAGTGCAACCTGGCTGTTGGGAAGAATTAATTCTTCACGCACCAATACCACTTCCAACAAAGTTATAATTCTTCCCAACAGCCAGGTTGCACTGAACGTTTCTAAAGTACTTTCACAAGCTAACACCAGAGTCGTCATCGCTTCCAGCACTTCAATAAAGGATCTAACCAGGACAAAATCAAAGCACCACGAACCAGTCAATGCAGGAGTTTACACAATACCCTGTGGAGGCTGCGACAAGATTTATGTAGGTGAAACAGCAAGAAACCTCGACACCCGCCTCAGTGAACACATTTACGCATGTAGGAACCATAGCTTGAACAACGCCTGTGTACAACACCGAAATTCCACCAATCATCTCATGAAAATCAAGGACGCCCAATTAGTGATCAAAGAAACTAATTTCCGCAGACGCAAGTGCATAGAATCAGCACTAATCGCTGTTTCGAATACAATTAAACAAAACAAAGGCAGCTTCACCATCTCTGAAGTCTTAGCAAGAATCCTCCTTAAAACAGTAAACCCTGCCATCACATAGTCTCTCCTGTTATTACTACACAAAGCACATTACGAAGAGTGAACACTGAAACAGGCCTTCTCTATCCAGTCTATATCTGTCTAACCTATTTTTATGTTTCCCAAGTAAAAACTTTTATATCCTTTTACTCATGCACGAGTTAACTGCTCTACCACATTGTATTACTACTGCTACTACTACAACTTATGTCACTACTACTACTACTACTACTACCACTAGTATTGCACCTCACTCTGAGCCTATATATACCCTCTGTGTCCTTGTACTGTTTGTAAAGGCTTGACAAAGCTCCTGGAGAGCGAAACGTTGCCACAATAAAATGTCACATTAGTTGCACTTGTGTTCTTTTTCTTTAGGTTTTGTTGAGTGAACAATTGGAAAAGATGGATATTAGTTACCATTGTGCAACAAGACACATTTCAAGCTTCTAATGGAGCTGACTATAAACAGCCACCAATCTCCTGGTCGATATTCAGGTCCCATTCGAAGTCCAGGGATGTTTTTGCAGTATACAAGTTCATCTTGGCTGAAGCAAAGAAGGAGTTTAACCTCTCTTGTTTGATAAGCTATTATTTTAACATCTTGTTGTAGACAGTTCTTTTCTTTTAGTCTGGATGTTAAAATTTTGTTTGGATGCTTGATCTGACAGACTGAAGTCACGTATCAGATCACTGAGTTCTTGGAAGAACTGCTCGGGTGTTCAAATGCTTACTTCATATTCACTGCCACTGTTATCACCTGCGTTACATCCTAAATCTTGAGTTTCTTCAACATCTGACAACGGAAGGTCAGGCAGTGCTGTAAACACTTGTATGGGAACGTCTTCACTGTGGGGTACAGGTCTCCTTGCTGACTCCAAATCAGGATATTCCCACTAGACTTTCTTGTATCGATTGAAACCTTTCACATTCACTATACTGAAATAACAATCATCGTGGTGGTTTTTAGGCTCTCTCCACACCATAGACACACCGAAGTTTAAACTTTTTCTTTGCTTATTTTACCACTCTCGTTTGCATTCTACATAGATTTTCCAAAGCATATAGGGAACCCAAGACTTGCATTGTTCTCCAAACGCCACTCCAAAATAAGCAAGATAAGCTTGTTTTACAAAACCTGAGATATTTTTCTATGGTTTTGCAAAGAGTATTCGCCACAAATATACCAAAATTCATTGGGATTGTTTAAGCAGACTCTTCGTAAAGAGCTCATGTTAATCTGGAAAAAACATGACAAAATAAAAGTTACAATATCGTCACGTGGTCGTTGTTGATACAACTCCTTTCGTTAAGTATTAAATAATTTAAAAATAAAATTCTAATCTTTATTAAAGCTATCTGTATATACAAACTGAAAACTCTACTGCCATTATCGAATTCAGCAACCCCAAAATACCCTAAAAACCTTCAAATATCTTTGGCATCTATATTTTTCTGTTGGCCATAAATATGGTAATTGGCAATCAGACAGAGAGAGAGAGAGAGAGAGAGAGAGAGAAGAGAGAGAGAGGGGAGAGAGGAAGAGAGAGAGAGAGAGAGAGAGAGAGAGAGAGAGAGAGAGAGAGAGAAAGAAAGAGAGAGAGAGAGAGACGACTGTATACTGACATTCACATATCCAGGAGAAGAAATGCCAGCTGCTCTAAGCTACATCAATCACCAGCTAAGAGCTTTATCAGCTTGGGGAAATAGATGGCAAGTAACATTTGCACCTGAGAAAACACAAATGATGATCTCTAGGCACCATGATGGTAATGCTGGTGCAGTAGTAAGGATGAATGGGAGGGTGTTGGCACCTGGGGAAGAAATTGATATCCTCGGGTGAAATTTGACTCCAAACTGACCATGAAAAACCACGTTGTAAATCTTGCAAGTAAGGCAGCCAGGAAGCTTACAGCACTTCGCCGTATCTCGCATGTGCTTGAAAGTAGGGGTTGCAAGATTTTGTATGAGGCACAAGTACGTACACACCTTGAGTATGCTCCACTTTCTTGGTTCGCCTACCCCCTTCTCATCTGCGACTGCTTGACAGAGTAGAGAACAGAGCAAGACGTCTCATCTCTTGCCTGGACCTATCCTGGATAGATCTGTCATTTCAGCAGAGCCTTCAACACAGGAGGGAGGTGGGTGGCCTTACTGTTATGTACAAGGCCAATACTGTCAAAGTACCACACTTGGATCCACTTCGAGGACAGTGTGAAGCAAGTTCTATACCACAAGACGGGCAGAAAACAGCAACTTCACTCTGGCTGTACCCTTCTCCAGAACATCACCTCATCTGAGATCATTTATGCCCAGGATGACTCGAGTATGGAACACATTCGTAGAGCATTATGGTGTCAACGACATCTTTCGGCATTGCGAATACAGTGTAAATGACCTTCTCTGTGGAAAGAGGCAAATGTAGTCCCTGTTCACGAAAAGAAGAGCAGAGCAGAAATCAGCAACTACAAACCAGTGTCACTCCTGTCAATCACTGGCAAGCTCCTTGAGACAATAATCTCAAGACAAATGACAGAGTTTTTTAACTAGCACTCACTACTTTGTGACCGTAAGTATGGCTTCAGGAAGGGTTACTCTGCTGCTGATCTGTTGTTAAACCTCTCCACTAAGTGGCACCAGTCACTGGATGAATCCAAAGTCAGCTGTGTGGTAGCACTGGACATTGCTGGTGCTTTCGGCCGGGTGTGGCACCAGGGCCTCTTAGCAAAACTGCAAACTCTGGGAATTGCAGGCTCTACGCTATGTCTCCTCAGTGATTACCTTCATGGTAGATCTCTAAGGGTAGTTCTCAATGGAACGGAATCAGCAAGACATCCTATTGGGGCAAGTGTTCCAGGAGGAAGTGTGCTGGGACCATTGTTATGGAATGTCTACTTCAATGACCTTCTTCAGCTCATCCCAGAATCCTATGCATATGCAAACGACTGTACACTGACATTCACTTATCCAAGAGAAGAAATGTCAGCAGCTCTAAGCTACATCAACCACCAGTTAAGAGCTATATCAGCTTGGGGAAATAGATGGCAAGTAACATTTGGACCTGAGAAAACACAAATGACGATGATTTCTAGGCACCATAATGGTAATGCTGGTGTATAAGTAAGGATAAATGGGAGGGTGTTGGCACCTGTTGAAGAAATTGATATCCTTGGGGTGAAATTTGACTCCAAACTGACCATGAAAAACCACGTTGTAAATCCTGCAAAAAAGGCAGCCAGGAAGCTTACAGCACTTTGACGTATCTCGCATCTACTTGACAGTAGGGGTTGCAAGGTTCTGTTGGACGCACAAGTACGCTCACACCTTGAGTATGCTCCACTTCCTTGGTTTGCCTGCCCCCCCTCTCATCTGCGACTGCTTGACAGAGTAGCGAACAGAGCAAGACGTCTCATCTCTTGCCTGGACCAATCCTGGATAGATCTGTCATTTCAGCAGAGCCTTCAGCATAGGAGGGAGGTGGGTGGCCTTATTGTTATGTACAATGCCAATACTATCAAAGTACCGCACTTGGATCCACTTCGAGGACAGCGTGAAGCAAGCTTCTATGCCACAAGACGGGCAGAAAGCAGCAACTTCACTCTGGTTGTACCCTTCTCCAGAACATCACTTCATCTGAGATCATTTATCCCCAGGATGACTCGAGTATGGAACACATTCATAGAGCATTATGATGTCAGCGAGATAAAGTCAGTTGATCAAATGAAAATGCTGGCTCACAGATGGGTCCAACTTCATCCTGTTCACTACTTGTATGTCTCATAACAATAAAAATGCTTTCAAATGAGCTGATGTAGGTAACAGTTCTTAGTTTGTCAATAAAGTTAGGAATCCTTAACCTGTAAATAGCTTGTCAACAAAGCAAGGGAACCTTAACCTAACCTTGTCAAACCCTGTGTAAGAGAGAGAGAAGAGAGAGAGAGAGAGAGAGAGAGAGAGAGAGAGAGAGAGAGAGAGAGAGAGAGAGAGAGAGAGAGAGAGAGAGAGAGAGAGAGAGAGAGAGAGAGAGACCCAGTAGTGAGTGATCTGGCAGAAGGCATAGTCACTTGTCAACCCCTCGGCTACGTTGGATCGTCTGACCACAAGGCTGTTTTTACGACACTTAAGATCCCAACAGAACGAGGTGAGGAGTCCACACGCACAACCTGGCTATGGGAAAGAGGTAATTGGCCAGCCCTCTGCTCTGAGCTCGCCACCACCGATTGGAATGCTCTTCTCCAAGGGGATGTTGACAACCAAGTGAAAGCATTCTCTGGACACATCCTCAATCTACAACAAGAACACAATCCTCACCGGCATACACCGTAAATAGCTTGTCAATAAAGCTAGGGATCCTTAACCTTGTCAAACCCTGTGTAAAAAAAAAAAAAAAAAAAAAAAAAAAAAAAAAAAAAAAAAAAAAAAAAAAGAGATGGGGGAAGGTGGAGAATTCAATACACAAAAGACAAATATGAGTGTCAGCTCTGCTGCTAAGATTGTTTAATAGGAAATTAAAGAAGCAAGATAACACATGAGGAATATCCATTAATGACATCAAAGATCTAGAATGGGAGAGACAGTATTTAACTCCACTTTTTTGTAAGTCTGAAGAAACATTGATATCAAGAAGTGACATCAAGCAGGTTACTATAAGTCAAGCAATATTACAGCCTCTGAAGACGAGGAGAGTAAATACACCGACTGTCTTTGGATTAAGCAGCACAGGGGTAAACAGTGTTTTTGAATTACAATGGCACATGGAAAAAAATTTTCAGCTTCGTCTTTCAGTTTCAAACGACAAAGTTTATTCATGCATTCAGTCATTGAAGAGGAGAGTTTGGAAAATTGACCACTTCCTTCATACCAAACATTCACACAGTGGATGGCTGACAATGATGGCTACGATAAACAAATGTTCACTGGAAAATTAGCATTCCATGGTATAGGATTAACAACAATGTTCACCATACATCAGTTACACTTGATTCGACAGTACAAGCTTAGAGCGGGACTAAAATTATTGATAAGTTGGTTGCAAATAACGGAATGCCAATCATTCGTACACCGGGCCTACTACATCAGATCTTTCAAGAATAGTACTAACTTTGCAGTTCCTGTACAAAAAGCAACTACCCGTGTTTTACTAAAATGTAATTAGGCAGATCAGAAGTTCTTTCAGCAAACCGGTCAGGATTAATGCAACATGTGTTCAGAGCAAATAATGGAAAGATTCTCATATAACAACACTTCTAGTTGCTGTGTTGTTATTGATTAAATACCACTCGTTCATGGTTACAATACGATATATGCTGCTTGTGGAGGCTAGTACACCAAACGGGGAGTAGAATGAAATTGGCTCAGAGGCACTCACACCACCGTATGTTCTCGGATCATGGTAAAACACCTATCTCAGCTGAGTGCATGATTCTTGTAGGATATGGTGATCCTTGGGTTAGAGCATCATGTGATTCACGCTCACCACGAGGTGTATATGTGTGAATGAAGATTTTCCTAGTCGATTTATACCCATCTCTTTCATAAACAAAAAACTTAATATTTAATTATGTAAATCTGTGAATAATTTTATTTAGCGGTTCAAAGGTAGGATATATAAGCGGTAGGATGTATATTTTTGCAGTGTACATGTGCAGAAAGTTTACTATAATCACTACTGGTGGTGCATAGGTGATGATACTTGGACACATTAACAGAAATAACATGAAAATATGAAGTACATCAGTGTAGACTGTAGAGAGACCTGAAAACTTGTGTATGATTAATTTAACCAGTTGACTGTTTGTTAATAGGGCTTAAAGCCTATCACTACACGAGCGTCACTAAGCGTCAGTTCTTAAACCTGGCCTAAACTGAAAAATTACTATTATGGGAATAAGAGCTATTAAGAAAAATAGAAAATAATGCATAATAGCTTACTGGGTGTAAGTAGAATTGCTTAATAAGACTTACCTTCTATATTACATACACATAAAACTGAAAAAAAGACCAGCAGTCTCAACAGTGCAAAAATCGTATCAGGCCTCTATCTATTCACAAATCATGACATGTCATGTGACAGGATAGTTGCAGGTTTTCATTCCACCACCTCCTCCCTTTTTTAGATAACATAGCATTTGCTATGTTACCTAAAAATTTTTTTACTCAAGCCTTGTTTAGATTTAGAATATGAAGCTCACTCTTAATATCTTTTAATATGTCAGTGTAAAAAATCACTTACTTCTCTTTATAGTTTGCTTCTTGCGTGCTTGTACCATCCCGTATACTACTTCAGCCAGAGAATTGTAAGTGGATGGATGTCGACTGAAGGGCATCTGGCGTGAAGCTTTGCGTCCAAGAACAAAGTAAGTATCCATCTCTCCTTTACCCTTAACAGAGATTTTTCCTCGATATTGAAGCCTGAACCCTCGAAAGTTTAAGATCTGAAAGTTAGCCATATATCCATAACTTATCATCTGAAGCTGATTAATTAGATTTTTATATATATTATATATATATATATATATATATATATATATAATATATATATATATATATATATATATATATATATATATATATATATATATATATGTTGTTGGAGTGTGAGCAGGGTAATATTTAGTGAAGGGATTCAGGGAAACCGGTTATTTTCATATAGTCGGACTTGAGTCCTGGAAATGGGAAGTACAATGCCTGCACTTTAAAGGAGGGGTTTGGGATATTGGCAGTTTGGAGGGATATGTTGTGTATCTTTATATGTGTATGCTTCTAGACTGTTGTATTCTGAGCACCTCTGCAAAAACAGTGATAATGTGCGAGTGTGGTGAAAGTGTTGAATGATGATGAAAAGTATTTTCTTTTTGGGGATTTTCTTTCTTTTTTGGGTCACCCTGCCTCGGTGGGAGACGGCCGACTTGTTGAAAAAAAAAAAAAAAAAAAAAAAATATATATATATTATATATATATATTAAATATATATATATATATATATATATATATATATATATATATATATATATATATATACATATATATATATATATATATATATATATATATATATATATATATTTTATATATAATATATATATATATATATATATATATGTAGGATTGCGGATGAGCATGGAGGTTTTAGAGTGGGTAGGGGATGTGTAGATCAAGTGTTTACATTGAAGCATATATGTGAACAGTATTTAGATAAAGGTAGGAAAGTTTTTATTACATTTATGGATTTAGAAAAGGCATATGATAGAGTGCACAGGGGAGCAATGTGGCAAATGTTGCTAGTATATGAAATAGGTGGTAAGTTACTAAATGCTGTGAAGACTTTTTATGAGGATAGTGAGGCTTAGGTTAGGGTGTGTAGAAGAGAGGGAGACTACTTCCCGGTAAAAGTAGGTCTTAGACAGGGATGTGTAATGCCACCATGGCTGTTTAATATATTTATAGATGGGGTTGTAAAAGAAGTAAATGCTAGGGTGTTCGGGAGAGGGGTGGGATTAAATTATGGGGAATCAAGTACAAAATGGGAATTGAAACAGTTACTTTTTGCTGATGATACTGTGCTTATGGGAGATTCTAAAGAAAAATTGCAAAGGTTAGTGGACGAGTTTGGGAGTGTGTGTAAAGGTAGAAAGTTGAAAGTGAACATAGAAAAGAGTAAGGTGATGAGGGTATCAAATGATTTAGATAAAGAAAAATTGGATATCAAATTGGGGAGAAGGAGTATGAAAGAAGTGAATGTTTTCAGATATTCTTCATCTTCCAATCCCACACCTCTTTCCAACACCCCAGCATTCACCTGTCTTACAACCTCATCTATAAATATGTTAAACAACTATGGCGACATCACTTATCCCTATTGAAGGCCAACCTTTACAAGTGTAACATATGATGAGCTCTGTATATGGAATAGATATAAAGACTACTTGCGAGTGTAAGTGGTGTGAGCCGGAAGTGAAAGGTTGTGTCTGAGTAGTGAAGGTTTGTGTGAATGTTGTGAAAGTTTGTGAAAGTGTAGTGAAGGGTTGCTGAGTGTAGTGAAGGGCTGTGGGAGGGGTAGTGAAATTTACGTGAGCGTAGTGAAGTTTTGCGTGAATGTAGTGAAAGTTAGAGTGTAGTGAAGGGTTGTGTGAGGGTAGTTAGTACCGTTAATGTGCTCGATAGAATGGTTCAGTGAGGTGGTGTGTGACAACACTGTGAGGACAGTTGTGTGTATGTAATGTTGAAGTTAAATGTTGTCGGGTCACCAGAATGAAAGGTAATGTGCATGAAAATAAATATTTGGGTTTGGAATGGGATGGTGAAATAGAATGGCATTTTCCACTGTGTGTCACATTTTCTTCATTTTTTATTACACATTTTCCGGTGCCTTTCTATAGCATACCTGAGCAGTTTCTTTTGGTATCTGAATGGTGTCGCTGGCCCCTGTTGAATCCATCCTGGAGGCCTCGTTAACAGTGTTACCCCAGACATCAAACACTGGTTTTTTGGCCCCAATTACACCTCCTACTAAAGGTCCATGACTGATGCCTGCAATATAAGATTGGAAAAAATATAATCGCACATGCCTTTTTTTTCTTACCACAGTATGCAAAATGATCAAAATACTGAAAGTTCAGAAATTTCAAAATGAGAGAGAAAAAAAAGAAACAGTTGATTAAGGAACGCTGAATATAAATGTGAGGTTTTTATTTACATTAAGAACCAAAATTAAATTTTGGACTACCATAATTACGCTGCTATCATTATTAATTATTATTAAAGATTCGCCGGTATTCTCCCGGCCCGGGCCTTTTCCAAGTGGTGGCCCGGCCTTGGCTCCCTCTTTAGGGACTGTCTGAGACCTAAGTCTCCCATGGGAGGAGGCACAAGTACCTTCTCATCTTTGGGACCAACTGTCCCCAGGCCTAGCCACAAGCTAGGCCTCTCTGGTCTGTCATCCCCGCCACAAGGGGGCTAATGGGTATGACAGTCTTGTGAGCTGTAAGCTCGGGCTCAGGCACCTACCCTACCCTAGAAGGGTTAGGCATGGTGTCGACGACGCGCTGCTATCACTGCAGTACATGTATCTGAGTTGGTAGTGCATATCATATTTATTTTCCATATACATATATGTAAAAAAATATTAACAGAAAAATCATATTTTTCCCTAAAACATATATAAAAACAATATTTTTTGATTAATTTTACTTGTATACATGTAACATCATACTTCTCCCACTATGACCTCAAGCCGAATTTACAGTGATGAACATCTTTTAAAAGAACAAAATTACAGTGAGAAGGTATTCAACTTAAAGTTCCCAACACACATTATTGACTCCTACGAACATGAAGTCTTCCTCTTACACATCATATCTAACGAGTATACCAACATATATTGACGACTGGTCCCCCCCCCACTGGAGTTTACCTGGAGAGAGTTCCGGGGGTCAACGCCCCCGCGGCCCGGTCTATGACCAGGCCTTCTGGTGGATCAGAGCCTAATCAACCAGGCTGTTACTGCTGGCTGCACGCAGTCCAACGTACGAGCCACAGCCCGGCTGGTCAGGTACCGACTTCAGGTGCTTGTCCAGTGCCTGCTTGAAGGCAGCCACTGGGAGGCAGTTGAACAGTCTTGGGCCCCTGACACTTATTGTGTTGTCTCTTAACGTGCTAGTGACACCCCTGCTTTTCATTGGGGAGATGTTGCATCGTCTGCCGAGTCTTTTGCTTTCGTTGTGAGTGATTTTCGTGAGCAAGTTTGGTACTAGTCCCTCTAGGATTTTCCAGGTGTATAATCATGTATCTCTCCCGCCTGCGTTCCGGGGAGTACAGGTTCAGGAGCTTCAAGCTCTCCCAGTAATTGAGGTGTTTTATCTCCGTTATGCGCGCCGTGAAGGTTCTCTGTACATTTTCTAGGTTAGCAATTTCACCTGCCTTGAAAGGTGCTGTTAGTGTGCAGCAATATTCCAGCCTAGACAGAACAAGCGACCTGAAGAGTGTCATCATGGGCTTGGCCTCCCTAGTTTTGAAGGTTCTCATTATCCATCCTGTCATTTTTCCAGCCGATGCGATTGACACAATGTTATGTTCCTTGAAGGTGAGATCCTCCGACATGATCACTCCCAGGTCTTTGACGTTGGTTTTTCGCTCTATTTTGTGGAAGGAATTTGTTTTGTACTCTGATGAAGTTTTAGTTTCCTCATGTTTACCATATCGGAGTAATTGAAATTTCTCATCGTTGAACTTCATATTGTTTTCTGCAGCCCACTGAAAGATTTGGTTGATGTCCGCCTGAGAGCCTTGCAGTGTCTGCAATGGAAGACACTGTCATGCAGATTCGGGTGTCATCTGCAAAGGAAGACACGGTGCTGTGGCTGACATCCATGTCTTTGTCAGATATGAGGATTAGAAACAAGATGGGAGCGAGTACTGTGCCTTGTGGAACAGAGCTTTTCACCGTAGCCGCCTCAGACTTTACTCAGTTAACTACTACTCTTTGTGTTCTGTTTGTGAGGAAATTATAGATCCATCTACCACTTTTCCTGTTATTACTTTAGCACGCATTTTGTGCGCTATTACGCCATGGTCACACTTGTCGAAGGCTTTTGCAAAGTCTGTATATATTACATCTGCATTCTTTTTGTCTTCTAGTGCATCTAGGACAGATTACTGGGCAGATTGCCGTCGCCACTGCCCCGATTCTCCGAAAAGCCAACATTAATGTAGCAGTCCTTAACACCGAAGCAATAAGAGTTCAAGAGAAACCTTAAAACCAGAGGTTTTTACATAGTTGGAGTATACAGCATGCCTTGTAGCAGATCCGATAAATTCTATATCGGGGAGACCGACAAAACCCTTCAGACACTCTTTCAGGAAAATAAATATGCCTGCAGGAAATGAAACTAAGAATGCATGCATACTCAGTCACAACCTTCATTCTCGCATCAAGAATTTTGGAAGAACACAATCGCAGTGATTAACCTCATCGATACCAATGAGTGAAAAAAAAAATGCATATATTGGCTCGACCTATTGTCCACATTATCCATGATTAATGAAATAAACAGGATAAACATTTCATTTTATCCCCACCTCTTAATCTCACCAGTACCAGACGTCACCTTAACTTGATGTCTCAAGTTCATAACTTCGTATTTGACCTGTCTTTCTCTGAGTCTGAGTTCATGGTGCTCGTTTGGCTTATGTGGCAGTGTATTTACTCATTCCTGTGTACCTGATAAAGCCAAGCCTTGTGCGAAACATTGTATTAAAATTATTCTCTGCTATGGTATTATTCATTTAAACTATTTAGATAGAAACCTCATTGTATGGAACATTATATTACCTTGTAAAAAGGCATGTGTGTCTTTTAAGAAGTTGATTAGGTAGGCACGCCACATAAAACGCCTAAAACGCAATCTTCCTCCTGTAACTCAATTCTGAGAAATGCTTCGATGAAATCAGCAGTTCATGAATATTTTTGCAACCTAAAATTTAAGAGTACATCTCCCGGTTTTTCGTCGAAGACGACTTATAATATTCCCCAGGACTGTGTATGTCAAAGACCAGCCTGTCACAGAGTAATTATCCAGACTTACCGAGGAGTTGTGGTATGGTCTGAGAAGTTGTGAAATGATCTGAGGAATTATGGTGATGTCAGGAAAATAGAGATGTAGTGTGAACAGTTGTGGTATGATTGGAGGAGTCGTAATTTCAACACAGTTTTCAGGAGAAGAACCGCAAAATAATGGATTATCATCACTGTTCACAACAGATGCAACATCACAATTAATGTTCCTAACACCAACACTGCATACATATATAATGCATCTGGCAACAACTCACGGGGAATTCTTAATATGATGTGTAGATTAAAAATTATAAAGTACATACCTACTCTCAGTCTGAAGTTATTGAAAGAATGCTTATTAACCTCCTCCAGTCGAGCTTTCATCTCAAGAGCGAAGTCTACCAGGGCACACAAGTGGGCGTGGCTGTCTTCAACATCCTGTAATAGAAAAATCTTATGCTCAGGGCTGAGAATGAATAATTATGCAGTTTTCATCTTGTTATTCTGATTTCAGTTGTGAGAAAGTTCCGAGTCACAAAATAATCATTACAGGAAAGGAATATTAATATATTTTTAAACTTTATATGTTCGAAACAACAATGAATAAGGAACATGTATTTATCATGCTTGTTAAAGACTTCACAATAACTGAGCAGCTAGGATACTGTACTGACCTTTTCAGTAGGGTTAAGTCCAGATGCTGCCATGTATGTGCTGCCAATGGTCTTGATTTTTTCAATACATGTAAAGCGATCTTCATCTAAGAGCTCGTCGAAGTCGGCTACAGTGGTTAAATTGACAGCCTATCAGATTTACTTAAATATTTCAGCACAATGTATGTTAAATTCTAATTCGTTGCATGGAATTAATGTACTCTTTCCTGATTAATTTTACAAATGTTATTACAACTTACACCAACGGGAAGTGACATTTTTCCAATCTTACTGACCACGAGGACGACTTTTTCGTAACCTAAAAAAAACTTCTGGGAGACCTGCATGCTCAAAGATGCAACTTTAGGTTCCACTAACAACAGAGAAAAACAACGTCTGCTGGACGGGAAATATTTGCTACGAAGCTTAGCGGAACAATGGGAATGAATCAGCGGCTTTTTAGGCTGGGAACTAAAAATATAAACGAGCCTCACAAATAGTAGTTGTAGTAGTAATAACAGTCGTAGTTTAGTTATAGTATAGAGTCACTGTAGACCCTCAGGAGAACTTCTTTGATGCCTACTAGGTAATCAGATTTGTCCGCCCCTTATCCAGATGGTACCTCATTCCCTTCCATTACCCAGGAGCTGTATCTTCCATACGGCTTTAACGCTTTCCCTTAATTTAATAGTAATAATAGTGAAGCAAACGTTCAGTATTACAGTAGAAGGAGGAGTAATAGTAGTTCTGCATCAATAATAATATAATAATAATAATAATAATAATAATAATAATATAATAATAATATAATAATAAAAATGTAATAATTAAATATTGCCTTTAGTTTTATTTTGTCTATTAATTATAGTTAATAACTGGTATTGAGTTCTGTCATGGAGATAGTTTAAGCAAAACTTAATGAGGCGCAATAATAGTACAGTAGGAGTAATAGTCAATCAAATAATTAATTTATAAATTATAAAAATAGGTATGCACACGTTTTTAAATGCACACATATAGTTTACATATACCAAATACACAAACGCAATTACACACAGAACATTATATAAAACATTCACAAGGAAAATCAATTAAAAAACTTATATTAACAATCAGAATAAAACGTTTGTTATGTTTAAAACTGATAAAATAAACACCTGCCTCTAAATTGCTCATATTTCTGTAGTCAACTAATGTGGGCAGCAATAATATAAAAAAAGACAAACACTGTATTACATTTATCAAAATGAATAATATAAAATCACACAAATATAACAACACTATGCATTTCCTAGCTGCTCAAAATTACACATATCTTTAGGAAGCTTATATTTTTGCACCCATCATAATCATTTTCAAATTATTATAAAAATATATTATTTGCTTTAATGAACAGCTGGAAAAGGCATTAGAAATGGGTGATCCTAACATTATTTTCAAATTATTTGAAAAATTTACATTAAAATAATTAAAACATTTAAATAAACATCTATTTGTTACTCCAGAATTGCAAACCAAGATCAGGCATGCAGTATAGTATACTTTAAACAAGCTGTATTTCGTTCGCTGTATAATCAGAAAAAGGAATCCCCGCATTGCATAACTCTAGTCTCCAATAACTAAATGCACGCTATAGCTATAGTGTAAAGTGCAAATTAAGATTCTGATGTGGTTAAATATAAGGGCTGAAGGTTTGAAGCCAATCAAAATGGAAATTCACATATTATCACATGATAATTAATATCATAATTTCAATAAAAATGACAGACTGGTGCACCATCCACTAAGAAACACAGTTCTCTGAGGTCAGTGGTCACGAGAGGTCGTACTTGACCTAAGTTTGTTTGGGGGATTAGTGTGGAGTGTTATAGAGCATCATAGCTTGCTTCTGTAGTGTCTTAGAGTCTGAGTTCAAGGTGTTGAAAGAAGTTTTACTTCTCAAGGAGAAAGTAAGGTACTGAAAATTCTCCTGGTTAAGTATGGCAATGAACGTGAGGTTGTTGAAGTTAGTGAAGGGGAACAGGTTACCAGCAGTGAGAAGCAGATTACCAGCCGTTACAAGTAGGTAGGAGTTTCCTGTAAAGGAAAAAATATCAGAGCGAGGAAGGTTAAAAGAGGAGATTTGAAGGTAGGAAATAGTTCCTGTTCTCCAGTACGAATGTACTTCACTGGTCAGTGAGGATGACGGTACCTTTGCTAATAAAGGGAGTATTATCCTTGTGGTCGGTGACTCACAGGTGAGACCGTGCTTTCTGTAACAAAGATAGGAAGGTGAGACAGATGGCATGTTTCCCAAGAGTTAGTATTGGTGACATAGTCAACAGGTTGGATAATATCGTGTAATGAAATGGGAACAAGCCCATTATCTGCCTCAGTTCTGGTGCAAACGATATTGGAAGGCATGAGACAGGAGGTACTACATAAGTACAGGACAGGAGTAGATTTAATTATTTCTAAGGGAGGGTCCTGATCATATGGAGCATTTTACCTAGAAGAGAAGTGGGCACTGAATGGATGTCTAAGGCAATTTGTGCAAATTGCTGGCTAAACAGGTACTGCAAAGAACCTGAAGTACCTTCATTGACAACTGGGACAATTTCTATGGTTAACATGATCTATATGCAAGGGATGGGGTACATCTTTCTGGGACATTGGTGGAAGCGTTAACCAACTCTATAGAGAGGGCCGTTACTGAGTTGTCTATGACGTTAAACTGATAAACATAGAAGTATTTATATGTGTAGGAAACAAATAGGTTACAGCATGAGGAATGAAAGAAGCAAAAATCGTCAGGATACGTCAAGGATATGTTTAAAGGCAATGTTCATCATAAAGTTACTAATGAAGGCAACGGAAATGGTCAACAAACAAAGAGAGACATAAGGCAGCGAGTGACTTGCCCCCTTAAGGTTTACTATACTAATAGTAGGAGTCTAAGAAATAAGATAGATGAGCTAAGATTAATTGTATGTGTACAGGAGGCATAGATATTGTTGCTATATCAGAGACCTGGTTGAACCTGAAAGATAGAGAAATGCCTTCTGAATGCCACATACAAGGCTATAAATTATTCCACACCGATGGGGTCAATAGGAAGGGTGGTGCAGTAGCGATGTACGTATGTCAGAGATACTTTAAACTCTTACATTAGACAAGATGTACAATTAGAAGCTAAGGACACTGAATCTGTTGGGCTGCAGTTTCTGGAGGGATGTGAAAACACTAATCTTGGGAGTGATTTACTGGCTCCCAAACCTTGATAGGAAATGCAGTAAACTTCTATGGGACAAAATTCGTAAGGCATCTAGATACGAAAATGTTGTGTTAATTGGAGATTTTAACTTTGAACAAAATTAATGGATTAGTTTGACAGGAAATCTTGAGTTCAGCGACTTTCCTGATACGGTCCAGGCAATATTGTTGTCTTAAAACAGATTAATACAGAACCAACCTGCTTGACTTGGTTCTTGCTAACAAAGAATCACTAATTAAAAATCTTGAGGTAAATGATGAGCTTCGGCAAAGCAATCACATATCACTCAGTTTCAGTATTTCATGGAATTACCTTAATAATTACAATCAAGAAAATGTTCCTGACTTTCGCTCGGTCGATTTTATAAGACTGGGAAATTACCTATGTGGGGTGAACTGGTGTGATCTGACTGGTCATTATCCTGTGGATGAGGTGGGCGGTGATGGTTGCCAATATGACATTTTTCAAATAATAGTTCAAGCCGCGTATACTACTTATAATTCCATATAGGGAAATTAAATAGATTAAAACGTGTCATATGTCAAAACAGAGGCATATACAGGCGAATCACATGGACCTCAAGAAACTACAGTAAGAATTATGCCAAGTAGCTAAGTAGGGCCATCAGTCAAATTCAAGAAGGAGAAGAAAGGAAAGACAGATTCCCATTTCAGGAATTCTTTCTGTGCAAACAAGGAGATAAACTGCTTACACACTTGTTGGCAAGCCCATATGCATTTTAACGAAGCGTAACGAAGCGTAACGAAGTAGTTGGACTCTTCGTTAGATTCACCGGGATTTGTAGTACACAGTATCTTGAAGACGAGTATTCATACAAGAAACGATTATTCACCTGTTTGCACTTTCTAACACACTTTACCAGTTGCTGCAAAAAAGAAAGCACTTTCGATTTATGCAACTACTATGAGAGAGAACACACCAACGACAAATTTTTTAGTACCAAACATCAGCATATCCCAAAACATTTCTCATACTTTTGTCAAAGGTAAGGTATAGTCGCTACTACTCCCACCGTCATCAAGGATCTCGTCAGCAATAGATAAATAAACTTTACAGTCCAACGTGGAGGCTGCAAAAATCTAACATGGAGAAATTTTATTTAGGAGACGTTTCACTCACCAAAAGTTCCTAGTGAAGGAGAAACATCTGCTCAACGAAAGTTCCCTATACATTGCATATATGCTTTCTATATACAAATATGCATATGGAAGAGACAAAACCATCTCACTTTTTCCATTCTTCTTATAAAAGAAGAGCATCTCCAGAAAAGCAGATGTTTAAAATAGTTTCTTTTTGTTATCTCCAGCATAACAGTACAAAACACGGGAAGTTTCAATACCTCTGAATTATTAGCTTGAGTAATCTTGAAACGCCCACAGCCCTCAAATAACAAACCCAACCTTCGCTTACATGACCACTACTGCGCTTCCCTCACTGACGTCAAACCTGACCACTACTTCTACTGCAATCAAATTTAATTATGACTCACGGAATCGTAATGACACGATTGGGTAAGTAATATAACCCAGGTGTTAGACGTGTCGTACTCATTAGTGCTCAGGTAAATTTTCTAGAACAAAGAAATATATGACTGTAGATGAATCAGCTGTATATGTGAGCGCATCCGTATTAGTTAAAGTTCTTGGAATGTGCTTCCACGCCACCCTTTTCCCTCCTCACTTCCATTTTGAGCATTAGCAGCTCTAGAATCTTTCCACTTTCATTTTGCAGGAGTCTTATCCATAACTGAAAACATATACAATGGGGGAGATGCGAATCTAAACTAACCTAACGTCTAATGGGGCCCATATTATTTCTTACATCAATCTTATTTTCCAGCTTTTCTCTTTCTTGAGTAGTTTTCTTTTGTACGTAATGAAATCAAACCTTTTTTTTATTTGCACCGTCAACCACCTCCCCTCTTTGTGGGGAAGAATCATAAAGACTATGATACTTTATTACGAGGTTGTCAACACTTGCTTCGTGCTCTAAATTCTGTTAAA